GCCTAGAGCCTGTTTTGGATTCTGTGTCTCCCTCTCTCTCTGCCCCTCCCCTGTTCATGCTCTGTCTCTCTCTGTCTCAAAAATAAATAAACGTTAAAAAAAATTTTTTTTAAATAAATAAATATATAAATAAATAAATAAATAAATAAATAAATAAATAAATAAATAAATTTTTCCGTTAGAGTCAAGAGAGGTTCCACCTACTACAGAACATGAATAGATGGGTAACTTTCCAGCCACAATTCTTCTCATCATTATTGTATCTTTGCTTTTAACAACTCACGTTCTCACCCTTACAACTGTAGTGTACAGAACATAAATCTGAGACAAAAATTTTACCTACCTGTGGATAATATATAAGAAGACCACATAATAAAATATTTCTTTTTTTCACTTCCTTTGCATATTCCCTAATCTGTATTAGGTTTTCCATTTTCTGATCAAAAGGTACTGATTTATAATCAAGAAAATACACCTGCAAAATAATACAAAAGGTCACATTAGAATATAATCCTTTCTCTTTGCTTTGAAAAATATAATATTAAAAAAGCTCAAAATACAAATATAATATTATAATATTTAAAAGTTTGTGTTAATTTCTAGATAAGCATATCAAGTCATAAATGCTCAGTAAGATTACTGTATCCTTTACAAATACAAAGACAATAAACAGTCACTGAGAACACGATGTTGAAAAATATAAAATGCCAATATTCTATTTCCACTTGTGTCAGAGTCAAATGTATAAAAAAACATGATTTCCACCATTCACCTAGCTTAATTTATAAATTGCAACTAGGCTAGGTAGAAATATGATAAATTAAGCAATTACTAATATTAATAAAATTAAAGGAAGTGCTCTATTACATTCATAGTTTTTTAGAATCCCTTTCAAACTGATAATTCAAATTCTAATAAATCATCTATGTCTTAGAGTAAATCCAGAATTACATTTTTTGCAGTGTTAAATAATATTTTTCATGAAATTATTCCAATGACTATTTTTTAAGCATTATTTTTCATTTAAATTTTAAGGAGCTCAGGATAAGATTTCCTCCTTTCTTCAAATTTGAAGTTTTAGGGTAATGTTTGTCTTTTGTGGGACATAAACTATCTAAATCACAATAATATCAAAATAAAATGCAAATGCAAACACAGAATAAACATTAAGAAATATTTGTATTTTTTTCACAGTATCAAGAATTGTAACTCTTAAAATTTACAATTTGTTCAATTACACGTATTTATTTTCTAGAAGCATTTTAAAATCTACCCCACTCAAAAACTCTTATACTAATCTCTTCCCTTCCTCGTTCTTCGATATAGAAATACACTCTATAGAAAATACACAATAAAATTTTATTATGTTCTTTAAGTAACACAAGGGACTGAGTTTTCACCCAACAGATTGCATTTTGCTTGTCCAGGGAAAAGTACTTTTAAAATATCAATTTTAAAAGAGAATTATGTTAGGACATTTATGTATATTAATTCAGTAGGTAAGGTAAGTGAAATAAGCCATACAGAGAAAGACAGATACCATATGTGTCCACTCTTATGTGGATCCTGAGAAACTTAACAGGAACCCATGGGGGAGGGGAAGAAATAAAAAGAGGTTAGAGTGGGAGACAGCGAAAGCATAAGAGATTCTTAAATAAAACTGAGAACAAACTGAGGGCTGATGGGGGTGGGGCCAGGAGGGTGGTGGTGATGGGTGATGGCAGGAGGGCACCTGTTGGGATGAGCACTGAGTGTTGTATGGAAACTAATTTGACAATAAATTTCGTATATTTAAAAAAAAAAGACATACATATGTCGCTGCTTCTTCCTAAAATCTAAAGTGACAATAAAGGCTTTTTTCCTTAAAAATGCTCCTAATTATTAAGAAACAAAAGCCTGGGTGGCTTGGTCGGAGTTGAGCCGTCCGGCTTGACTCAGATCATGATCTCACAGCCCGTGAGGCCTTGCCGGGCCCCTTGAAGACTCTGCCGCTCAAAGCCTGCAGCCTGTTTCAGATTCTGTGTCTCCCTCTCTCTTGGCCCCTCCCCTGTTCATGCTCTGTCTCTCTGTGTCTCAAAAATAAATAAACGTTGAAAAAAATTAAAAAAAAAGAAAAAACAAAAATAATAGAAAGAAGAAAAAAGAAAAAGCAAAAACAAAACAAAAAAAAATGAAGATGAAAAGCAGAAGAAAAGGGTCTCAGGGCCTTACTTATACGCTGAATATTGAAGAAAAGACAATGTTACCCTGTGATCTTGAGCTTACCTCCCCTTTAGCAGTGATGATTCCTGAAAACTTATAAAGATGAAAATTTCTCAGATTTTTTTTTTTTTTTTTACCAGGCAACATTGCTTACATAGCCTTAGTAAATATAATTTGAGACTGGTGAACTACAGCCAAGGAAGAAGCTGGAATAAGTGTTAATGAACTATAAATGCTTCCTTCCGTTAGATTTTCTTCAGTGAAATTAACTGGAAATTGTTGCCTAGCTGCTGAAACCTAGAAGCTAACATCAGTTGTTACTAGATACTAGTTCCTATTTATAGTTTGAAGGACTTTTAGAGGATAGCTCACCACCACCTTCTGACCTCCTTCCTCACCCTTTAGAAGCCAAGGTAGG